TAGACAGGGAATGTAAAAATATCTCTCTAGGGCCTTTTAATGGCTGTTTTGCCTGTTGTGTGTTCCCTTGTAGAATTCTGTCACTAATTCAGTTGCTACAGTAGCTGGAATGACAATTCTTCCATCCTGCAGTTGATACCACCAGTCTTCCTGTACTTTCCAGGTTCAGTCTCTATCCATTCTTGTTCTGCCTTTGTATAGACTGGGGTCCATTCAGAGAGTGGTACTGAGAACAGAGGGGCCATAATCTGTTGTGGGGACCACTGAAGTGCTGCCTCTTTGGCTGCTTGATCTGCTTTTCTGTTGCCTTTGGCCTCCTGGGAGTCTCCCTTTTGATGAGCCCTACAGTGTATTACTGCAACTTCCGAGGGGACCCATACTGCTTCCAAAGTGTCTAGTATTTCTGTCCCATACTTGATGCTCTTTTCCCTGGATGTGATGAGTCCTCTTTCCTTGTACAGGGCTCCATGAGCATGAAGAGTCAGGAAGACATACTTAGAGCCCACATAATCATTCAGTCTTAGGCCTGCAGCTAGTTGTAACACTCAGGTCAGGGCAATTAATTCCACTTTTTGTGCAGAGGTCCCCTGTGGTAGGGCTGTTGCCTCAATCACCGTTTCCTGTGTGACCACTGAATAACCGGCATAGCGGATTCCATCCTTTACGAAACTGCTGCTATCAATGTAATATTCAACATCTGGCTTTCCCAAGGGTCTGTCTCTCAAGTCTAGCATAGACTTCATCCATTACCTGGAGGCAGTCATGTATTAGGGTTCTTTTGAGGTGGGGAGCAGGGTGGCGGGGTTCAGAGTGTTAGTCTCTAAATGGATTTGAGGATTTTCACACAGCATGGCCTGGTATTTGACCATCCGGCTGTTAGTAAACCAGTGATTTCCCTTATAATCCATCAATGCCTGAATGTGGTGTGGAACTCCTGACATAGATCTCTTGACCCAGTGACAACTTGTCAGCTTCGGCCACCAAGAGGGCTGTTGCTGAGATAGCCCACAGCCAAGGTGGCCAACCTTGAGCTAGTGTCCAGTTTGGAAAGGTACGCCACTGGCCGACATTTTATAAAAAAAATTTTTTTCACAACTCTGAGTTTATTAAAAAAGTCATATAAGGACACTTTTTGTTGGGAATAATTTATTTTTTGAATATTTTTTTGATTATTTTATTCTTATTGATTTTAACATATGATTGGTTAAACACTGTGGTCATCTAGTAAGAAGGAGCGCTGCCTTTTTTTTTATTTATATGCACACCTGTTAAGGGTTAGGTGAGCTGCTTTTCACATTTGCATATTAATTTGCACATTGATTGGTTGATTGATTTTTTTGTGGCTCTGTCCATATTCTAATTCTCTTAATGTGGTGTTTGTCTGGCCAAACCTAGTATTTCTTCCTCTAGACCTGTTAATGTATCACCCCCCCACGTTGGTTGTGTTGGCATTTTTTACTTGGCTTTGGGGTCCCCCTCAAGCAGGCCCTGGGCTTTTCTCTGGAGGCCATAGACCTGACCTTTGGTCTTATGTCCTTTTCCCCATTGCAGATTTTGGAATACTTTGCCCCCCCTCCATCCCAGGCCAAGAGAGCCATTTGGTTGTCTTGGTAAGTGTGGCCCCCGCCAGGGCATGTGCTGTAGTTGGAGCCAGACACCTATTGCCCTTTTGTCTTTTTTCTCATTGCAGGATTTTGACGTATCTGCCCCCCCTTGGGCCAAGAGGGCCAGTTGTTTCTTTTGGTAAGTGTGGCCCTTCCTCCAGGGCATGTGCTGTCTTTGGAGCCCAGACAACTGACCCTTGCCCTTATGTCCCTTTTTTCTGTTGCAGATTTTCACACTAACACACGGACATCCCACCACTTAGGACCTGCTGCTTCTGCTGCAAACAGCACCTAGTCAGACTCACTGCCCACTTGTCCTCCCATGGCACCCCCAAGGAGGCAAAGAGTCCAGGGTTCCAGGGGGGGTCATGGTGCCAGGGGGGATACTAGGCCCCCCACTGGCCGTGATGCCAGGGGGGCTACTGGGGCCCAGGGGTCCACTAGGGCCAGGGGGGGCATGGTGGGCCGGAGGTCTGGCTGTGATGTAAGGAAGGTCACAAGCTGGTGGCAGAAGGGGCCAGGCTTCCTTCAGAGAAGAGAGGCGGAAGCTGAGCTGAGTACCTCACCTGGGTCTGATGCCTCTCCTTTGAGCCCAGGAGAAGGGACATCAAGGGCAGGCAGAAGGTCCCGGTCCAAGCCCAACTTTCCACCCTTCTCCCGCAATGAGACCTGGGCCCTGGTGGTTGCTTATGTAGAACGGGCTGAATGCATCGCAGGGCACAGGTCCTCCCGCAGTGGTCAGGCAGCAAAGGACCGTCTGTGGAAGGAAATCACGGTGGCTGTAAATGCAGTGGGCAGGATGTTACGCAGGAACCTCAAGAACGTGAAGAAGCGTATGCGTGATCTGAGGCGGAGATTAAAGGAGAAGCTGACTCTGTGGGCTGGGCAGGGACATGTTACAAGGCATGGAGTGGACCCTGACCATCTGCAGGACCTGTCTCAGGCAGAACGGGCACTTCTGCCAATCATCAGCCTCAACACGATTTTTTTGGGGTGAAGGCTCATGGAGATACTGATGATTGCCACAGTGGTAAGTACACTACACATGTCCATATTGTGTCTTCAAAGTTGTGTTATCTTTTTAACATTTACCATTTGTTGTTTATTTTGTTTTGTGTTGTAGCCAATCCCAAGGCAGGGGCAGCCCCAGCCAGCCCATCAGAGGACAAGCCAGAAGATCACACATACACTGATCCAGAGGTGTTCCCTCCTGGTAAGTACTCATTGGGAATGCCCCCCGTAATGTTGAACAGGCTGCTAGAACATCAATCATCTCACATGTCAATGTCCTATTCACAGCACAACATCAGGAGAGGAGGAGGAGGAGGAGCGGCTCCCCCCGCTGCAGCCAGGAATGGAGGAAGATCTGGGTATGTATTAATGTGCTTGTCTACAACAATCATAATCACTCAGGATCAGCCAATGAGCATCCTCTTAGGAATGCAGAACAAACCAATGCTAAACTCTGTGTGAACACAAATATATCTCCACAACACGCTGCATTTCTTTGGGGTTCCTCACTGTATTGCGCTCAAACCCCTAGAGAAATCCGTGTGAAAAACTGTTACCACACAGAAATGTGTCTAATCCCTGCCAAATGTCCTGGGACCAGTTTCCCCGGACCAAGAAAAGCGGATAACCCCACCAAACCAAATGGGGGAACTAACTGATGAGAGCAATAAAGGTCCAAACATCACTAACTAGACATGACACCTCCTGAGCGTTCCAAGTCAGACTCGTCCTCGCAACTTCACAACTTCTCCCAGACACAAAAACATTCCACGCATGTAAACACACATACATGTAATCTGACCGACGTCAACATGCTCAACTCTGACAGTCCCAGAATATCCGATGTGTTTGGTGTTTAGTGACATCATATATCATGCCTGCTCAATATACAGGAAATGATCCACTACAGGGACCCATCACCTCCCAATCGTGCCGCTCACCTTCAGGTTTGAGCCACACAAAGGGAAGGTCAAACACACTTTGGTCACCACTATGGGTGGCAGAACTGGCAACATTCCTCCACTTCACTTGGAATCAGTAAGTCTCATTTTACAGCCCGCAGGTCTCTAAGCAAATCCTTGTTAAAAGTAAAGCCCAAAAGAGCTCATGATTGTTTACATTTCCATTCAATGAGTTTATTGGCCCCCTTAAGGATGCTGATTTCCGGAGTAGTGTTTAACCACTTGTCACCTGCACTGTAGCTGTCATTTGGCTAGAGTCCGGGGAGGGCGTCCTATGACATGCCCTCCCACATGCCCCTGGGGGTGCACACCCAGCCATCTCAGGGGTCGCTGTGTCCTACGGACACAGCTGATCACATGATGTGGTAAAAGGCCAATCACAGCGGCCTTTTACCACGATCACGGTAGATCACTCGGTAAATGCAGTTGCCGGTTATAGGCTGCACTTTCCTCATGTCACAGTGGGGAGGAAAGTACTGCAGATAACCGACAATTGGCAGAGGGTGGATCGGCACCGATCACCAGCTCACTGATGATCATTGACCTGATGATACCCCACTTCCTGGACAACTTCGCCGCCTGGCTCCCCTTCTTCCTCTCCTCTGAGCTACCGACCATCATCCTCGGGGACTTCAATATCCCCATCAACGACAACAACCCGGCTACTTCCCAATTCCTCCACCTAACCTCCTCCTTCGCGCTCACACAGCACACTCAATCCTCCACCCACTTCGGAGGGAACACCCTGGACCTCGTCTTCTCCCACCTCTGTACCCTTAACCAGTTCTCTAACACCCCCTTCCCTCTCTCCGACCACCACCTCATCACATTCTCCATCTCCCCTTCCCCCAACTCCCCCCCCCAAAAACGCCAAACCATCACCAGCCGCAACCTCCGCAACCTGAACCCCCGCCCCCCTCCACTCTGCCGCTGACTGCCTACATGACAGCATCCCTCCCACTGTCATGTCCTGACCTAGCCACCACCACGTACAACGACTCACTGTCAGCTGCTCTAGACTCTCTGGCACCCCTAACCACCACGCATCATCAAACCCAGACCGCTCCAACCCTGGCAAACCGACAGCACTAAACGCCTCAAATGTCGCAGTCGCGCACCGGAGAGACTGTGGCGCAAAACCAGGTCCCCTCATACTTTCTCCCTCTACAAATCTGCCTTCCTCACTTACACCTCCTCCCTCCACGCCGCCAAGCAGGCCTACTTTGTTAACATAATCAACACACCCCTCTCCTCCTGCCCTCGCCGACTCTTCTCCACCTTCAACTCCCTGCTCTCTCCCCCCCCTCCTCCACTCAGTACCTCTCTCACCGCCCACGAGATTGCCACTCATTTCCACAACAAGATTGACGCTATCTGTAAGGACATTGTCAACTTGCAATCTACCTCCCCACCTAGCCTCCTCACCCCCATCACCCCTTCATCTCCCCCCTCCTCTGCCCTCACAACCGCACTGCCCCCCACCTCTCCCAAGGCCCCGCCCACCATAACCCCCCCTGCACTGCACTCCCTCAGCCCTGTCACTACTGAGGAAGTCACCAAAGTCCTCTCAGAAGCCCGCCTCACTACCTGCCCCCTGGACTCTATCCCCTCTCAACTCCTCCGGTCACCCCCCCGCCTCCCTCATCCGCTCCCTCACCCACATCTTCAATCTCTCCCTCTCTACTGGCGCATTCCCCTCCCCCCTAAAGCACGCGCATATCACCCCCATCCTCAAAAAGCCCTCCCTGGGATCCCGCGGACCCCAACAACCTCAGACCCATCTCCCTGCTGCCACTCACCTCCAAGCTCCTTGAGCGCATAGTCTACGATCGCCCTAAGCGCAGCGCCCACCTTATTGACAATAACCTCCTTGACCCATTACAGTCAGGCTTCCGTCCCCTACACTCCACTGAAACCGCCCTCCTCAAAATCATTAACGACCTACTAAACGCCAAAGCCAATGGCGACTACTCTGTCCTCCTTCTCCTGGACCTCTCTGCGGCCTTCGACACAGTCGACCACCCCCTCCTCCTTAATAAACTACTCTCCCTTGGCATCAGAGATACCGCTCTCTCCTGGTTCTCATCCTACCTATCCCGACGCTCCTTCAGCGTCACCTACAATGGTACCACCTCCCCCTCCCTCCCCCTCTCTGTTGGGGTCCCCCAAGGCTCTGTCCTTGGACCCCTTCTCTTTCATCCATCTACACCTCCTCCCTGGGCAAACTCATACACTCCCCCAGCTTCAACTATCACCTCTACGCTGACGACACCCAATCTACCTCCCACCCCTCACCTCACACCCCCACTTCTCCGCCCGCATCACTCACCTCCTAAATGACATCTCAGACTGGATGTCGCACCCATCTCCTCAAGCTCAACCTCTCCAAAAACCAAACCCTCGTCTTTCCCCCTGCCAACACCCCCCCCCCATCCTATCCATCATCACCAACAACTCCACTATCACTCCCGCCCCGCAAGCCAAAGTCCTTGGCGTCATTCTTGACTCGAACCTCTCCTTCCTGCCTCATGTCCAATCACTCACAAACACATGCAGGCTCCATCTCTGCAATATTGCCAAGATACGTACCTTCCTCACCCCAGACACCACCAAACTTCTAGTACACTCCCTGATTATCTCACGCCTTGACTACTGTAATTCTCTTCTCACACGGCCTACCCCAGTGCAGGCTCTCCCCGCTCCAGACCATCCTGAACTCAGCGGCCAGACTCATCCACCTCACCACCCGCTCCACCTCTGCCACCCCCCTCTGCCTCTCCCTCCACTGGCTCCCGATTGCCCAACGCATCAAATTTAAACTCCTAACCCTGACCTACAAAGCCGTTCACAAAAAAAAACACTGCCCCTGACAACCTGCCCCTGACTACCTCACCAACCTGATCCCCAAGTACCGCCCTACCTGTACCCTTCGCTCGCTCCTCACAGGACCTCCTTCTATCCTGCTCCCTGGTCTCCTCCTCCCATGCACGACTGCAGGACTTCTCCAGGTCTCCCCCATCCTCTGGAACTCACTGCCCCAATCCATCAGACTGTCGCCTTCCCTCCTCACATTCAGGCGCTCCCTCAAAACCCATCTCTTCAGGGAAGCCTACCCCACCCTCACCTAACGGCCATTCTCCCTCTTTCCTCCCACCCCTCATTCCCCTCAGCCACTTCCTACTGTACCTTTACCCCCTCCCACCTAGATTGTAAGCTCGAAAGAGTAGGGCCCTCTTACCCCTCGTACGTTGTTTGTTATTGTTGTACTGTGTCATGTATTGTCCCCCCCCTCTATTGTACAGCGCTGAGCAAACCCTTTGGCGCTATATAAACTCGAAGTAATAATAATAATGATCAGAGCCCAGCAGTGCTGCCAGTCAGTGCTGCCTATCTGTGCCACCTCATCAGTGTCCATCAGTAGAGATGAGCGAATCGAATCAGGCGAAGTGGAATTCGTTTCGAATTTCAGGAAAAATTCGATTTGCAGCGAATCTGAATTTTTGCCAACTTCGGATGGTCGAATCGAATTTTTCCTGATCGGGCCCGTTTTCATCCCTTCTACAGCCGGCAAAAATGTCCCTGCAGAGAGCTCCGCTATTTCTGACAGCTGTCTGACAGTTCTTTCACATTTCCAGCGGTTGAAACATTGTATCTATTTGTTTCCATTTAGGATACAGATGTTTTTATTAGGAAACAAATAGATACAATGTTTCAATCGCTGTAAATGTGAAAGAACTGTCAGAGAACTGTCAGAAATAGAGGAACTCTGCACATACACTTTTTGCTTTACTGGAATTATTCTTATTTTCATTCTTCTTATTATTAGTTTCATTCTTCTTTTCATTCTTTTCATTCTTCTTTTCATTCTTCTTTTCATTCTT